GGGCACTCCCCCCACCCACCTACCACCCCTTCCTCGTCAGCCCGCCTCCACGTTGGACCCAGCACTCTCCTGCTGTGGAAGGCTGTTGCATCACCATGTCACCTCAGGGTGCTGTGACTTTGAACAAGGGATATTTTCAAGTCAAGAGTGTCTCTTTCCCTTTGCCAAGCTGCCACGTGCTGCGGCGAGGGTTTCCTGGGGCGAAAGGGGAGGAAATGTGTGGTGCCTTATGAGTGTCTTGCTACAGCGAGCCGTGTGCCTCATCACGCCGTGCTCAGTGCCCATTGCATCCTGTGTCTCATTTCATTCCTTAAACAGGTGTGTGCAAGGCGGGGAGGGTCACCGGGTGACCACGATGTCCAAATTTGTGACTTGATAATCCAACCTTGTTCGCAAAACAGAAATCACAAACCCAGATGGGATTAAAAAGATCAGAGCCAGAATCAGACGACTCTTTCTGTTTAATTTGGCAAAAAAAAAATAGCTTAATTTGGAAACATGCTGGCTGATTAATAGCAACCATCCCTTATTCCCCTGGCTGATAAAATTTACTCAGTGGCTTTTAAGGACAGACTTTGATGAATTCTAGCACTTAAACCCTATTGTGAATGGCTCATGTGGATTCTCTGGGAAAGCGGCATTATTTTATACAAGGATATTTAGGAAGGGGGGGTGCGGAGTTTGAGTGAACTTGGGATTTTCTGGATTCACATGTCAGCAGCCAGGCTGTGCGCCCCGAGGAGGGGCTCTGCCACGGCCAGGCCAGCCTTCCCACGAGGCGGGGCCCAGCTGGGGCCCTGCCGGGACGCTCCTGCTGCTGCACCTGGGCCACTGCCGGGGGTCCCTCAAGGTTGGATTAACAAGTCTGGGGCCCCACCTGGAAGTGGGTGGGAGCCACACTCTGTCCCCTGGGCAGAGGGTTCGGTGGCCCTACCGGCAGGGGAGAGGGACTCACTAGCTTTCATGCTTGAAATGCTTTCCTCTGCTTCCCCTCGCCGCCTTCTGTCCGCTGTCCTTGCTCTTCCGTCTGGAGGCAGTGAAAGTGGCCGGAGCACCCCCAGCCTCTCCGCGCTCTCAGACAGCAGGCCTCCCCCCTCCACCTACCAGCAGGCTCCTCGCCACTTCCACATCCCAGGTAGGCGCCCGGGGCGCACGGCCGCTCCCCGGGCAGACCGTCTGTCCGCACCTGAGTTGTGGGGGGCGGGGGGAGGACCTGCCCGGCCTCAGCGGGAGTTGCATGATCCCCAAGCCTCTCCATCTCCCCCACCCCCAAATTCTGAGATTCTTTAAAGATCTGCAGATGGGTTGCACATCCCCACTTGGCACGTGCGTGTTTTTCTCCCAAAGCCCTGCAAACACCGGGAGACTTTGCTGCCCTCCTGGGGACGGGCTAGAGAGGGGCCGACAGGACCCCAGATGTCCCTGGCCGCCCCCTCCAGCTGCCTCTTTCCCTCTGCCCGCTTCAGACGGCAGGTGGCATCTGGGCTGCGAGGCTGATCCGCGGTGTGGGGCCGGGGCGCCAGCGGGGTGCCAGGTTCTTCCTGGTGACTCCAAATCTGGGTGACAGATCGCTGCTGACAAACAGCGGTAGAATGGAAACCATCACGATGTGCTTGCTCATCCTGCTGTTCTCTCCTTATCTTCTTTTTCTTTCTTCTTTCCCAGACACTGGCGTCAAAGATAACATTTATAGGAAGCCCCCCATCTACAGGCAGCACGGTACAGCCGGACCTCCTCTGCTGCTGCGTTTGCCCCGCATGCGTGTTGACACCATTGCTTTTGCGTGCTCCCCTTTGTTGTGCTCTGATACGCGGTGGGGAGGGCACCCCAGAGGCCCCACAGTCTGAGTATTAGGTGCAGATTCCCGAGAGCCCCCTTCAGAAATGACAATGAAACGTCTGTCGAGTAAGGACACCCCTGTGTGTATAAACCCAGGGCTGACTCACAGGGGCCAGGCTGGGGATGGGACTTTGTGGCCGAGAGCTGGTCTTGGTGGCTTCAGTGGTGCTACTCTGAGGGAAGCAGCCAGGCAAACTTGGGCCAAGATGGTGAGGGATGGAGGTGCTTGGACCACAACCTGACCCAGCCCGGTCTTTGGAGAACAGAACACGCCAGCACCAGGCATTGATTGGAGAGCTTAAGCCCTGTGTTGTGGGCGTGGCTGACGGTAGAATGAAGGACCTGGCCTTCAGTCGAAGGGAGTTCTTGCATCAGCCAACCAGGGCTGGAGATGTTTGGTGGTGTGGGTGTCTTTCAGTCCTCCGGTTTCCCCCGAGGGGTGACCGTCCACCTCCGCTCCGCCTGAGCCTGCCGGGCACAGGTGCGCAGGGAGCGGAAGGGTCAAGGTCTCCCCTCTGTTTCCTCATGGACTTTCTGGTGATTTCACCATCCTGAGCCTCTGTCCCCTTGTCTGCAAAACAGGACCAGTTCCTCCACCCTGCCCTTTTCACAGGCTGGTTGCGAGGACCGAATGGGATAATGTACCTGGAAACATGTTCTAAACTGTGAAGTGCTGTACACATGATGGGGATTGTTATTGTTATTACGTGTCTAGAGAGTTGGGAAGGGGAATTCACATACTTAAATTCTTGTCCAGATGCAGCCAAAAAACAGCCACGCCCCCTGTTACTGACCGGGTGGACGCTGTTGGGCGGAATCGTATAAAAGTATGTTTTCGGTGGGTTACTGACAAATCCGTGGTCCAGTTGTGCAAACAACAAGGTTTGTTTTTTGGTTTTTAAATTTCCTCTTTGACTGCAGTCAGCCCTGTGCTTTGTGTATTTCTTCCTCTTCCCGAGAAAGAAAACAGTCAATGAAAAGTCCTGGGTCTCCGGAAGGCGATGCCTTTTAGCACGGCTTCTCAGCCAGAGAAGCCGAGAGCACAGATCTTCCCGAGGGCTCAGAGACGGAGGGGCTCGTAGGGTCCAGGGCCCTCAGAGGTGGTCCAGACCGGCCCCTTGTGTCCCAGGTGGGGAAGCTGAGTCCCGGGGAAGGCAGGAGCAAGCACACAGTGGTGCCTTTGGGCCGTGGCGCCCACACGCAGGCCGGTTCTGTCCTCGCCTGCAGGAGGGACTGCTGACTTGGCTCTCGTTAGCCTCTGGCACGTCATGTCCCACACAGAGTAGGAGGGGCGGCCCCCAGGAGGGGGACAGGCAGGAAATCGGAGTGTGGCATCTGATGGAGCCAGATCGGAGACCAAGAGCTTCCGAGACTGCGTCCTTTAACGAGATCGCGCAGTGGAGATTCAGTTTACTCTTACCAGTGGTTTTCTTTATTACTTTTTCATAATCAGCATATAAACACCTCTGCTTTCCAAAGTCAGGTAGTTTCCTGTATGACTGGACGCTAAGCAATACCAAAGCCATTTGAACGTTGTAGAATTTGGGCTTATTGGTTATTTTCCAAAATAAACCCTCTAGAGTGCCTTTCCTCTGCCAGGAGCTCAGCCACATTGTGAGGGTGAAGCCGAGGACCACCTGTCCCCACTCGCATGGACATGGCCGCGAACGGGGTGGGCGTGCACGCCTGGCAGGCCGTCCCCTCAGCCAGCTCTCCTGACACCCTCAGGACGTGACGGATGTGTTGGGATGCATCTGATTTCCAGAGCATCTGAGATGTTTTGAGTGTGTAAGATTTGCCCCCTTCAGCCGGCACACACCTGTTGGAAGTGTGTGGGGCAGGGCGGGGCATGCACGTGTGCGAGCACGTGTGTGAACGTGCACGTGTGTGTTTACAGCCCCTGGCAGCCCGCATCCCCCAATCCCAGCAAACTGCCCATCCAGTCATCCCTCAGTGGGCCATCTGGTTGGTGGCCCACCAGAAGCCACCATTTTCATCTCCAGACTCTGGGTGATAATGTTGCGTTCCTGGGCCGTTTAATTAATTTAAGAGACTATGTTCAGTGAGTTTCAAAAATTACACTTTTTAATTAATGTATTTACTTTTCAATGTTTCATTTCCAACTCATCAAAAGCTTTTGTTTCTTTAAAAAGACTAGCAACGCTCTTTTCAGTGCTGTCGCCCCATTCCTGTTTTGGGGAAGCGAGCATCTAGTGTGAGGATGGCCAGGCAGGGGGAGGCCAGGTGGGGACACCAGGTGGAGGACGAGGGTGACTAGCAGCCACGTAGCTGCATTGTGCGTGCGGTGTTTCATCTCCGCACAGCCCTGCGACTGGCGTTATCACAGACCAGGAAGCTAAGGCCAGGGCTACGAAGTGACCTGTCGGTGGCCACGTCCCACCCAGGTCTGCCTGCACCCTGCACCCACCGCTCTCATTTTACTGCATTTAAGGGACCAACAGTATTTTCTTGAACTACCTTAGTTCTAACCCTACTTGGTTACAATTTAATGGCTTAAAAAAAGAGAATAAGATAGAGAAGAGAGGAAGCAAAAGGAATTGAGTGGGAAATTAGGAGGAGGGGGCGAGGAAGGGGAGGAAGGATCACATCCCGCCGGGAAGAGACGCGGCAGAACAGCAGAAGGCGGGCGCGGGTGCCTCCCACCACCTGCTGGACGTCCAGCCATGACCGGGGTGCTTTTGGTCTCTTTTGAACGGTCCTGAGTGGCTCGCGGTGTTGAACCCAGGACCCTTTGAGGCAGACAGGACTCCAGCCACAGCCACGCCCCTGCCAGCTCCGACGCCCTCGCGGACCTGGTTCCTCCTCTGGAGGGGGGATCCGGCTTTGAGGGGCTCCAGGGGAGGCCCTGGGATGCTCGACACAGGGCAGAACATTCCTCTCAACGGAGGGAGGCTGGCCCGGTTTTCAGACCATTTAAAATGAATTCAAGAGGAAAAAGTAATGCCGCCCCCAGATTTCCCAGGAAGCTGACTGTCCAGCTATGGGGACAGATGTCTTGTTTCACTTGTAAGCAAGCACGTGGGGGCCATCCGAAGGCCATGTGCATGGGAGGAGTGGCCCAGGAGGCAGGGGTGGCGGCCGTCCCCTCCCACACCCGCCTTTGCAGACAGAGGGGGGCTCCCTCCCTCCCTCCCGCCTCCCGGGGCCGCCCACCCAAACCAGACAGCAGAGGCGGCCGTGCAGCGTGTACTCTAAGCTCCGTTTTTGGTCCCTGTTGTAACGTGGGGATTCATCTCGTCTTGTGTGTCTCTCTGGGATTCCTTGGGTGTGGGGCTGAGGCTCATTTTGGCTTTGGGATGGGAGGACAGGGAAGACAGGCTGACTCCATAGCCAGAGAGAAAATCAGAGACCTCCCACTCTCGTTGGGGCACTTCCCCCAAAGACTCACCGAGGGCTGCAGGGAGCAGGACGTCAGCCTCTCCCCAAAGGGCGCTCGCGGCAGACTCACCCCAGGGCTCAGGAGGACCTGCTTGTGGGAGGGAAGACGCTCTCAGTCCGACTTCTCCAGGGGGTCCTGGATTGACCTGTCTTTTCCTGGCTCCCTGAAACACATGCTCCAAGTCAGCAGGGAGCCTCTTGTTTCGTCCTAATATTTCAGACCTGTAAGCTGAGTTCCCCATCATGTTGCAGCCTCACATGTTAGCCCGGGCGAGACTCACAGCATGGAGTGGTTGGGAGTGGGTGGTGTTTGCCCATTTTACAGACCAGGAAACCGAGGCTCAGTGCCGTGAAGGAAGCAGCCCGCAAGTAACGCCAAGTGCCAGATCCTTCTCTCTGCCTAGCCGAGCTCCTGCTCCTCAAGAGCGTCCCTGGTGTGTTTTGCAGGCTGGCAGACCTGGGCTCTGGAAAGCCCTTGTTTTAAGTCTGGTTACCTTGTGCCCACCTGGCAAAGCTGCTGACGTTTGCAGAGAACACTTGCTAAATCCCGGTGGGATATCCCCTCTGCCAGAGGTGCGGCCCTGTTCTAAGCCCCGAGGTAGCTGTACGGCGGAGCTCGTCTGGCCCAATGCACTCCCCACGGCTGCGTGCAGTCCTCAGACGCGGCGTGGCCGCTGGGCCCTGTGGCCTGAGCTCCTGGGGTTTCACATCCCAAAACGCCCTTCGGTTAGAGGCTGCTGATTTGCTTTTGCACGTGCAAATTACCCCAAGTGTGGCGGTCCCTTCGGGGGCCTCTGAGGTGTCCAGGGATGCGGCTCGCTCACCTTCACCAGCAGCCCACGCTGGGGGCCCTCCTGGATGTGGCAGCAGCGACGCTCTCAGAATGCCAAGCAGCCGCTGGCCTGACTGTCCCTGGGGCCGTGACTCTCGCGGCTGCTGTGTAGCCAGACACTCGGCTGCGCTGCCTGGCGATGGCCGTTGTCCCGGCGACGGGAGAGCCCATGTCGACAGGCGTGCGTCCACCTCTGCGCTCCCTGCCCCTCTGCCTCTCCATCACCGTAACCCCTCTCGCGGCTGGCCATCAATTTTCCTCCGCCAGGGGAGACAGCAGGGGTTTTATTTTCATATTGTAAACCACTGTCTCTCCTGGGAGGAGGAGGAGCAGTAGCAGTCGGGAGGAAAGAAATGTCAGTATGTCTAGAGCAGTCTTCAATTGTGGCCTTATCTTGTCAAGGTCCGGTAGCCCAATCCCCAATTTCCAAGCTCTCAGGCCTAATGTCAGTCTTGTCCTTGGTGGTGCACAAGGCAGGGGGCTCCAAAACGCTAGAAGGTCCCAGCCCTCCGCAGGCGGCAGGTAAGGAGTCCACCCCAGCACGTCCTTACTGCAGCCTCGGTCCGCGGCAGGTGGCGAAGGACTGGGGCTTTCCTTTCCGTTGCTCCGTGCATGGGGCCGGTGAGTCAGCCCGGGTGCACGGGCTGGGTCTCTACATGCCGGACTGGATGCTGAGAACTGTCTGCATGCCCTCGTGTGATTAACTTTCTCCTGCTTGGTTGAGGTAACGTCAGCCCAGCTGGGTGACTCCCCTCCCCCAAAACAGGCCAGTGGAGAACACAGACACCTCTTCACTCAGCTCCAGATAGGCCGCTGCACAGAGGATGGTGTTGCTCGGTTCCACTGAGCTCATCTCTGGTTGTGCATTGCACCCTCTTCACTGCTCTTCGTGGAATTCTTCCAGCGGCATGACTTGCTCCCCGTTTTGTGTTTTGTGGGAAGTGAGTTGGGGCAGACAGAGGAAGGACTTTGAAGTCAGATTGCCAGGGTTCAAATGTCCGCCCCTGCCACCCGCGGATCCTTGATCTTGAGAAAGACACGTGGTCTCTCTGATCTGAGAAATGGGTTGTTGTGTGGGGATAAGCAGCGATGTCCATGCAGCGCCCAGCTGAGACTGACCCAGCAGGGGCTGGATGACTGGGAACTTCTGTTACTTTAAACTTGACACGTACAAAGTGGGTTCTGCAGAATGCCAGGTGGGCGCATCCAAGAACAGGACACGATTTCCCCAGGTCGGGGCTTGGCTGGCATTGTAATTAGACATCGCTGCACACACCTGCTCTGATCTAAGCCCACCCTGTGCAGGCACCCAGCCCTCCGCAGGCAGCGCTCCTGCCAGAACCTTCTCCAGCTGGCCCTGTCCCTCAGCCCTTAAAAGGACGAGGGCTGGCCACTGTTTCTTTGATGAGTTTCCATTTCTGAGCATGACTGTGCCGTGGGAACTGTGACGCGGACACCCGGAATCAGTGGCGCGCTGTCTTGACCAATTAATTCTTCCCTTCCAGCTGCGAGGCGGTCAGATGGGGAGGATGGAGGTTTTGACCCGGATAACAGGAAGGTAATGCAGGAGCTGAAGGGGTGGGAACGGCCTCGTTCAGAAGCCTCAGGCTCCCCCTCCTCGGTTCTGTTCCTTGAGGGTCCCATGAAGCCACACAGAACAGGGACCAAATTTAAGAAGAGGTCCCGGCAGCCTCCTTCCTACGCTTATGATTAGCACATCTGCTACGACGTCCCTGTTATGTGCCGGGTTAACGTGGTCGTGGTTTTGTAAATGAGGAGATGTCTTGAAAGACAGGAAAGCAGATCACAGTGCGGGAATTAGGATTCGGCCCACGGGCCGAGCTTGCCCGCCCTGGCTCAGGGACTAAGGCCCCCTTTGCTTGTCTTTAAGGAAGGTGGGTGGGTGTGAGGATAGCCCAAGGCTGGCTCTCTCCACGTGAAACCATCTGGGCCCCTGACCACCCAGTGCCTCAGTTTCCTCATCTGTGAAATGGGGCAGTGCCCTTGCAGGGGACCTGGAAATTCACGTGACTTTTTTTTCCTTCTCTCAGCAGAAGACCAGCTGGCTGATTCTCAAGGGAGACGCAGACACTCGGACTAACTCTCCAGACCCGGACAGCCAGTCTCTGTCCCACAGCAGCGGGACCGATAGAGGCCCTCTCCAAATGACGCAAGGGGACAACTTTTACTCACGTGAGTGGTTCTTTTGAGCACGGAGCTGTCAGTGTGGCACCAAAGGGCTTGACAGAAAAGGGGCCCGCCACTTCAAACCAGTCCCTCCAGACCTAAGCCTGGTTCGTTAAAAATTCTGAGAGCAAACTGGAGGACAGAAGGGCAGACTGGTGGGGAGCGGACGCTTAGCCGTGTGCTGGCCCCCCTCAGACGGACATCCCTTAGACTGCGCCAGTGGGTCTCCCAGAGCTTTCCAGAATTGGCAAGAGGGTAGGAGACCAAATCAGGCTCCTGGGCTCTTTCGGGAAAAAGGCTTCCGGGCTGCCAGGCTGGACGCTGAGGGCCCATTTCCCTCCAGAGCGGACAGGAGCATGGTCCAGGCGGGCGAGTCCAGACTCGGAGTCGAGAACAGCACTGTCCCGTCTCTTACGCTCATCTTGCACATGGGACGGGGAGCCGGGACCTTGTCTCCTCGGGGGGTCATGGGTCTGAGCAGGCGTGCTCACCAGACATAGTGTGAGACTCCTGGTAACGGTCTTCACGTCCAGAGGCCGTCCCTCGCCCAGCGAGAATGACAGCTAGCTGGGTCTAACGCATGGAATCGTTTGCGGCCGTGGCCTTGGGGTCCAGGCGGGCCATGTGGGCAAAGGGGAAGCTTAGCTTGGAAGCCGAGGCCGGGAGCGGATGGGCATGGGAGAAAGCAGAGGAAAGGCACTGGCTGTGCCATGAGGCAGACCCGAGTTCAAACCCTAGCCCACCATTGACTAGCCACCTGACCACTGTCAGGGCCTCGGTCCCACCTGTGCTCCTGGCGGGTGGTTAGAGACCCGAGGGAGGCACCACGTGTGCAGCCGGCTCTGTGCCTGCCCCGTAGTAGGTGCTCAGCAAACCCTCTGTCTTCCATCGCCATCACCATCCTCATGCTGTGAACTGTCTCACCAGTGAGGGTGCAGGGCTTCTGGCGAGGGGCGCAGTGAGGAAGCTGGGAGATTACCACTCGTTAAAGAAGAAGTCTGAACAAAGGAAGGATGTGTTGTCTTTCGCACGAGCTTCGTGAGCAGACGCCCACGCACCCCTGCGCCCCAGCCCGCCTGGGCTGCATCTCTCTAGGTGGGACCGCAGAGCCAGCTCCCAGGGCTGACGTCACCATGGGAAGGTCACGCCAGGGAGTACCCCAGAGGGACTCGTCCAGGTGGCCCTCTAGTTCTCCTGGGGCTGGTCTGGAAGGGCCGTGGCAGGCTGCCCGTCCCTCCAGCGGCAGGGCTGGTCACGGGAGAACCGATGGGCAGACCCCAACCCGGCAGGGGCAGCAGGTCCTCCCGCTCAGCTGTGCCTGGTCATGCAGGACTTGCACGTGGGCCCTGGCCACTGGCCTTGGCCATGGGCCCCTCTGCTTTGTGCTCCATTTTAACTCACGGCAATTGTGTTTGCAAAGCGCAGCGCTCCTGCTGCACCAGCACCCCCGGCACCCCCCACATCTGGAGGGCACCAAGGCATCAGCCCCGAGGGAGTGAGGGTGCTCAGGAAAGGACTCTGGGGGTCTGTGGTGGTCTGACGCTAGAGCTTCAGTCCTTCCCTTGCCGGTGCTGGGCGGGCCTGCATCTGCAAGGCTGATGGCCACCACCTCCCCTAGTCTGTCCTCGGAGGGCAGCTGCTGCCACCCCCCACTCCGGGGAGTCCCATGTACCTTCACAGCCGGCCCATGGCTGGGGCCAAGGGAGGTGGGGGCACCACGTGGGGAGAAGCCTGGGCAGGAGATGGGCCGCCCCATGGGGACCTCCCTGTGCCACTGACCTGCTGTGTGACTGTTGCTTCCTCCTCCGCAGCTGCAGGGCGAGGTGCCCTGCAGTCGTCCTAGGCATCCCCCAGGCTGTGGCCCTGCCAGGCCTGAGGCTGCACAGCTGTTTGCTTGGCTGGTCACATGCCTGCCAGGTCTGTATGTCAGCTCCATTCCTTGCCATTGCGTCCCCGTCACAGGCTGCACGTGTGACCGCAGGTGGGAACGGGCTCTTCCCGTCCCCGTGCACCCGGGGCTGCAGGATTCCAGGTGCCCGTGCTGGGAATCATGCTCTACCTGGGGCGGTTCCTCCGTGGTACAAACAGCCTGTGTGTGCTGTGTTCTCCTCCTTCACGGATGCGAGCTCAGGATGACGTGATCATAGATCTGTCACCCCTTCCCTGCCATTGCTGTTTTGTCAGCTCCTCCGGGTGGGAAGCCCCATCTAACCATCACAATGATCCCTTTCTTTCTATCTGATGATGTGGCCTGGTTTCCCGATGTGCATGGAAGTAGCAGCGAGGACCCAAGCTACTGGCCGTGCATAGATCAGGCAAGCCTTGCTGTCTGCCAGCTTCTTAAGGGTTATCCATAAACTGAGGTTATCCACCCTCTTTTCTGGGGTTCCTTCGGATCTCACCAAGTAGCCCCCAATCCATCAACACCAGTTTCATTTGCCGACAACCGGTGTCAAACAGAGCATTTGCACGCAGCAAGGCACACCTGTGTCCCTGGGACATCCATCTGTAGCGCGCCCAGGAAGGTAGGATTGTGACACTCTACACAGTGGGTGCTCAGTAAATGTTTGTTGAATTGAGATGCGTTAAATTCAACGGGTATTTATTGAGCCCTCACTCTGTGCCAGACGCTGTGCGGGGCGCCAAGGGGGGTACCGAGAAGACAAGAGCAGCGCCTGCCCTGGAGAAGCGCGCAGGGAGCTGGGAGAGGCAGAGACGCCGCTGGGGGCAAGCCCGCACAGCCCGCCGCCGCCGCCAGGGTCCTCCGTGGCTCCCCAGGGCCAGGCCCACCCTCATCCCACTCGTGACCCCATCAGCACATCTCACCTAAATTCATCATTCAGTCATTCATCCGTCCTTTCACCAAACATGCATTGAGCACCTACTATGTGCTGGACACAGGGCTAGGCAGCAGAGAGGAGGTGGTGAATTCGTCCCGGTCCCCGGGCCCCAGCAGGAAAGCAGACAATGGAGCAGCTATGGCCAAGCAGTGTGACATGCCTCTCCACCATGGCAGTGGTTCTCAGCCAGCACTGCCAACCCCTCTAAAGGAGGTCTCACTGAAATACATGTTTTATCATAGACTCTGTTGTCTACCTGGGGCAGTGATGAACCTGATTTCTGCACAGGAAAGGGATGGTACTGATTTTCTGTTGGAAGAAGAGTCTTGAGCCTTATAGGGTGAGATTCACGGCCCCTAGAAGAACACAAGGTCACGTGGGCCCCCCTCCCCTGGCCCAGACCCCGCAGACGGGCCTGCTGCTGCTCTGGTCCCACCTCCCTAACCCTTCAAGTCTGTCCTCCCTCTTGAGGTCCCCAAGATCCCCTTCTAGGGAGTCAGAGGCAGCTCAGCGGAAGACACAGCCCCAGGCCGGCTGGAGAGCCTTCCCCGAGGACACGGTGGTCCCCAGAGAGGACCCTACACTTCCGCAGGGAAAAAGGCCCTGCTGAAGTCCGAGCACGTGAGAGGATTCAGGGTGGGCCTGAAGACTGGGGTGGGGACAGCTGTGCGTTAGAGACGAAGGCAGCACAGACGGGTGGTCCAGTGTGGGCCACTGCCCCACCCTGCCTGTGGCTTTGCCACTGTGTGTCACCTGCCGTGTGCCCGTCCCCGTGGAGGCCCATGCTTGATGGGACGACCTTGTCTTCGTGGGCCGCCCACCCTGCCCGGGCCCGAGATGGCCTCCTGGGTGCCTCGCAGGGCACATCGGCGTGATGGTTGGGAGACGGCGCTTCCATCCACTTTTCTTCCCCTGCTCGCGGGAAGAAAGTGGGCTGGGGTCTTGGATGGAAATGGCTTTCCCCATTCCCCGTGAGTCCTCTGGAGCTCCCAGGCGAGAAAAAATCATTCTCACGTGTCTTCGTCCATGGCTGAAAGAAAGAGGGACCTGATTTGCTATTTGCCAATCCCACGAGAATTTTGGGAGGGGGACACATGCTCAGGTGGAGGACCCCAGGGGTAGGGTCGCACTGACAGGTCGTGCTTTCCTAGGCCAGGGCACTATGTGCAAGCACCACTGCACAGGACTGACAGGACATCAGTCCACACCCTCGTTTTAGGACAGGCAGAGAGGGCCAGAGACAGGGCGTGACCCACCCCGCCTCAACTGACGTTTCAAGAGGGCCCCACACCCTGACACTGGGTAGGCCCGGGGGCAGGGCAGAGGCCAGTCAGACAGCATCCTGCCCCAGGAGCTGACAGTCCAGAGGGAGTGGGGACAGGGACAGAAACAAAGTCAAAAAGTAAGGAGGCTGCAGGCTTGAATGCGGCAGGTGTTTGGTGGGGCGGGGGCCTCCTCACAAAGGCGGAAGCCGGCCTGCGGGGCCGTGGGCTGGGTGGGGGCCGGGCCGTGCAGGGTCACAGAGGGCTTTGTTGGCCTTGGGAGGACTCAGCCTGGCCTCCAAGTGGAGGACGGACCTAAGTGTCCTCAGCGGAGCCCTGGCATTGTGTGTCTCCTGGAGGGGTGGGTCCTCTGGGGGTCTCCTGGGGTGGGTGTCCTAGGGGAGGGGTCCTCTGGGGGTCTCCTGGGGTGGGTGTCCTAGGGGAGGGGTCCTCTGGGAGTGTCCGGGGGGGTGTCCTAGGGGAGGAGTTCTAAGCAGCACAAACAGCACAGACAAAGGTTCGAGTCAAGAAGCAAGGTGGCAGTGTGGGAACCAGGAACCCAGAGGGGCAGCGAGAGATGGTCGCAGAAGCCCGCTGGCCTGTGTGCAATGCTAGGACATCCCTTTTCTGTCTGCTGGGGACCGGTCAGCACCACAGGGCTGTGAGCAGATGAGGTGACCCATTTTACACACTTAAACACGGATGGGCAGCTTTGCAGAGGATGGGCTGGAGTCTGCCGGGCCAGGGTCACAGGGACTGTGGTGTCCAGATGAGCAGTGGGGAGCCCCCGAACCATCTGAACAGCAGGACCGTGTGTGAGCAGTTAAGGAGGATGGGTGGGGATGCTGTTCCAGTTCAGATGGGCGGAGGCACCTTTATTCAGAGCAAGGGAAGGAGCGGCTGG